TTTTGTTAAACAATATTCTATTTTTATTCACCAAGAGACAATTACTCTACACCTTAGGTAAACAACATCTAAGTTTACTATGTGTGTGTGTGTGTGTGTGTGTGTGTGTGTGTGTGTGTGTGTGTGTTTTATGTGAGTACACACTTGTACTTCAATATCAGAGATGTTCCCCAATCATCCACTCTTCACCTCATGTTTTAAGAGTTTCTCACTGGAGCTTCATCCAGTTTACTGGGATGACATGCCAGCAAACATCAAAAAACAGCTACCCTGTAGCATGAATCTTGGAGTCTTATTAATAAAAACAAATCTGGGTGCCAGGTACTGGGGTCAACGCTGGAAGATAAGAGAAGCAGAACAAGCCACAGCTTCCTCACCTTGCCAATTCCTCAGCTGATGCTGTTTCCTCAGCCTGGAAGCCTCTGAGTCCTCATCCAAACAGATCTCAAATGAACTGCTTCTTGAAAGCCTGAAAGCTTAACCAGCTCTAGTTCCTGGTCCTCACACCTTCTATAACTTTCTGCCATCTCTTCCTGGGATTAAAGGCGTGAGTCACCATACCTGGCTGTTTTCAGAGTGGCTTTAAACTCACAGAGATCCGGATGGATCTCTGCTTCCCAAGTGATAGTATTAAAGGCATGTGTGCCACCATTTTCTGGCCTCTATATCTAGTGGCTGTTCTGTTCTCTGACCCCAGATAAGTTTATTAGGGTGCACAATATTTTGAGGGACACAATATATCACCACACTACCCAAGTTTAGAATCATACATATTAACCAAACTTCTTTGATGTTTATATGGGTGCTAGGGATCCTATCTCAATCGCTTCTGTTTGTTCAGCAATCAATTTACAAACCAAGTCATTTCCTCATCCTCTAAATGCACCTTTAGAAGAACTGTTTCTAATACATCAGTGTCAATCTTTAGTCTTTGGTGTCAGTTGTATCCAGGATGTTTTTCAATGCCTAAATATAAATAGCATTCAAGGCATCATGATCTATGATTTAAATTCTTACGTATTACGATACACAGAAAGTCTGACGCTGAAGTTCATTAAGAGAAGGCATATTCGGTATACACAAAGGAATTCAGTCTACCACAGACACTGTGAATCTATAGAAATCAAGTATAACAGAACTAGGAACTGCTATAGAAGAAGTGGAATTTTGCTGTCTACAACTTTCACTGTCCAACAGCTCTTGGGAAGTGTGCAGCCAAGAAACAAGGAACAGAACCTAAAGTGTTCTTAGCAAATCTTGGTACAAAAATCTGAGAGAGCTATAATGGCCCTTCTGTACTCCACGCTTATGGAATGGGTATTTCACTTGCTGACATTAAGCCTTTGCTCAAAAAATGACACATGAATGAACTTAGAGTTGGATGTATTTTTGAGAATTTATGTTTCAAAAATAGTCATAACAAGCACAATGTTCTCAATCTTCCAGCTAGAAGGAACTTTATAAGATATACTCAGATATGACATTTTTGGATATATTAAAATTTTAGTTTTTAGATAATTAAAATTGTAAGTCATTCTTTACTGATGTTAAATAATTCCAATGTTCATACATGTTTTAGATTATCTCAAGCAAAGCATATAAAATACCAATCAGTTTTGAAAATGACAGAACTGTTGAAGCAGTTAGAAACAGCTGCATTTAAAATTAATTTAAACAGCTGTCTTTATTTGAGATAAAGTAATAAAATTACAGAAACTTCTAAGTAGCAAATACAGTTTTCAAAAATATTACTTTCTACATATTAGATTTTGAAACAAACATTAAATATTTTATGAAAGAATAGTAAATATTGTTTGAAATGAACTCTTTGAATCAGTGTTCCACTGATGGAGCCCTGGCTGGAACAGAATTTACTTTGTGTCTAGTTAGTCTTAACCTTATGGCCCCCTTCCTGCCTCAGTTTCCCTATACAAAGATTCAAAATTATATATATATATATATATATATATATATATATTCTCATGCTAAAAATAAGTAATTAAAATTATTATGAATAAAATTTAATGACTGCCATCAAAACAGTTTATTTAATTTTATGAGTAAAACATTGCACACTGACCTTGAAAGAAAAATATTAAAGTATCAAAGAATGCAATAAAAGAATCATTTTGAGTAGTTGATTTTGAGGAGAGGTTCAAGAAAATATATTAGAAAGTAGACCAGAATTCTTGTCCTTTATTTCACTACATCTGAAGTATGTCCTACATCGTGTTGAAACTGTCTACTCTCATGTGTTGGAAATGTGAAGTGTCAAGTTCAGTACTCTATTCTTTTATATGTATCCCTAATTGGCTGTAGGACCTCATCCTAGGCTAGACTATAATATGTTGTTCTCTGTCATCAACCTGAGAGAAAAATTTTATTCAATGTCTTAGTTATTACAGTTCTATTTCTGTGAAGAGACACCATGACCATGGTATCTCTTATGATTGAAAGCATTATTTGGGGGCTTGCTTAAAGTTTCAGTGGGTTAGTTCATGGGCACCATAGCTGGAAATGGTCAGAAATGGCACTGGAGAAGTAGCTTAGAACTTTCCATCCTAATCTGCAGGGGGGCAGGCAGAGGGAGACACATACACGGAGATACACACACGGAGATGCACACACAGAGAGAGAGAGAGAGAGAGAGAGAGAGAGAGAGAGAGA